TCCTTGAAGTCAAACACAAGAGTAGAATCTGAATCATCAAAAGTTCTTATGCTTGCCAGGTGCCAGTTACTCATGCCTGTAATCCTAGCTACTCAGGAGGCAGAGATCAGGAGGATCAGCTGGGGTAAATAATTCACCATATCTTGAAAATATCTAAACACAAAAAGGGCTGTTGGAGTGACTGAAGGTGTAGGCCCTGAGTTCAAGCCCCCGTACTGAAAAAAAAAGTTCTTATGCTTGCAGCTACATTCAACCAACTTTGTCCTGGCACCTCGGTTGACTTGACTAGCCCAGGCTTCCTGCTTCTGAGCGGGGGTAACTAACTTCTCCCCTCACTCTCACCCTGTCCAAATGCTCTCACTAGGTCAGGAGCCTTATCCACCAAACACCTGGCACCAAGGTTGTGTGTTTCTTGGCATTTGGACTCTGTGTGGTATGAGGCATGGTCACTCTGCTCTTCTCCTAAACCTTTTCTTCCCTTCTTCTCCCCACCAACACCTCCACCTCCCTGGATCCTACCCCAACTCAGTTCCCCACATATAGCCTGCCCTTGCTTCCTGGCCCAGGTGGATGAACAGACTGAATATCTGCAGAAAGTTTCCTACAGCTCATCAGGAAATGGATACCTAACTGGGAAGCTGGAAATATCAGACCTCTTTAAGAAAGTGAGGGGCACCCAACTGTGCTCCACCATCCATGGTGATTGGTCCATATAGGCCCTTACATCATTGCTAATGAGCTATTCCTCTATTCCAGGGTAACAATCCCCTGTATTCACTGTGGCTATGTCTTGACCTTCAACTATAGTTATTTGGGTCTTTATATACCATTGTATACACAAACATGCACACACATTTTTAAGTTTTGTTTTATTTCTTGTTTCTTTATTTTTTTCTTTGCAGTACTGGGGGTTGAACTTGAGGCCTTGTACTTGCTTTACAAGCTCTCTACCAATTGAGCCATACCCCTTGGTCTTTTCACTTTTGGATTATTTTTCAGATAGGGTCTCACACTTTTACCTGGGCTGGCTTGGAACCCAATCTTCCTACCTCTACCTTCTGAGTAGCTGGGATCATAGGTGTATGCTATCACACCTGGGTTGTTTTTGAGATAGGGTCTCACTAACTTTCCCCCTGGGTATTACCACCACCACCTGGAAGGCCAGCCATAAGTTGTTTTCTGTTGTTTTTTTGTTTTGTTTTTTAATGAGAAAGCCCAGTGATAGGAAAGCAAGGCATCAGGAATTTGTTTTTCCAAATATAATACTGCAACTTTCAAAAGTCAATTGGGAAGTCAATGAGCAGGTACAACTCCTGCTCATGTTCTTATACCTTCTGTAGTTACAAGACCATGTGGTTAGTGATAGTGGCTACGGTGAGGACCTAACGTATTGAGATGTCATCATCATCTAACATTGACCACGCATCTTCTAGAGATCAGGCACTCTGCTAGGTATAATATGAGGTTCAGAAGTGAGGAAGATGCATCTTTGCTCCCCAAGAACATACAGTTCTTTGGAGGGAGTCCGCACATGTAAAAAAGACTGTCTGAAAGCCATGACCATGCAGAACAAGAAAGGATTTGGTGTTGATATCTGTTCTGCCACTTGTCCTTACCACATGGTTGTTTGCTCTTCCTGGGGATTCACCCTGGTTCTTCTGATGTCAGGATGATAGGGTGGGGTGGAGCACGTGCAGGCCCTGAGTGAGCCCGGGGCACTTGCTTAGAGCTCAAGATGGGCCGTGGAGAGTGGCTGAGCTTTAATCCCTGCCAGCTCTGAGATCTGTTAATTTCATGAAATATCCATGTCAGCAAAATGTCCCCACCACTTGATTTGGGGTTTATAGTGTTTCTCTGAATACTTTTGGAATAGCATTTCCCAAATTGTGTTCTGTAGCATGCTATTGTAAGACTCTCAAAAGTTTAGCTTTCTTTTTTTTTTTGAGGAGAGTCATTATATTCCAGGGCCAATTTGTTTAGAAAGTTCAAGATTAAAGAAAACTAAACAAGCTGCTCCAGTGTAGGACTTCTTTCAACCTTTAATGTGCTAGTGTATGTTATGAATCTCAAAAAGGCAAATATAGAAAGCGATGATTCACCTTATTTCTGGTTTTCATGAAATTTCATGAAATTCTGTTAGAATCTCTTAGAAAGCTAATGTCTTGAGGAACACACTTTGAGAAATACTGGCTTAGAAGCTTTTCATTATACATAAACTGGAGGTACTTAGCTGTTTCCCATATTCTTTTAGAAAATATGCTTCCATAGCAGCAGGAGTATCTAAGTTTAGACATAAAGAAGAATTTTCTAACAGTATGGGTGCTTAGAGGGTAGAATTCCAGAGTGTCCCGGGAAACTGCAGTAAAAGAACATGCCACCCCCTTTCTTGTCCTTCTGCAAGCTCTCCCGTGAGTGGCCATAAGTAGAATGAATCATCAGGGAAGCTCCTGGAATCTTTTTATCTAAAGAGACCTTTGAAAATAGGATATAGTCGAGGGATAAGAAGATAGGAATTAAAATGCAGGAAGACAGACTGGCTGACTTCTGGATAGACTATCTCTAAGTGCCTGCAATTACTTCATTCATTCTTACTCTGCCTAGAACATGTATTGGCAAGGAATACCGTCCAAACTCAGGTTTCCTAGACGAGTGGAACTAAAGATGAGAGAGCCAGATGCTGCCTAGGGCCCCGTGGGAGTATTTCAGTAACAATCACATACCGAGCATCCCTCTTTTGCCAGATACGATGTGAAGCCTTTGCGTACATCTTACTTGTTCCTTGAAACAGCATAGGAGGTTGCTAATATTTATTGCTCCTATTTCACAAAATGTGGATCTGAAGCCCAGAAAAGTTAAAGGCCTTGGTTGAAGTCATACATCCAGTATAGTGAGGAAGCTGGTATCCATTCTATATCCCCTAGTGCTGTTAGGAGTCTGGTCATTCATGATGTCAGGGCTCCCTTGAAATGGGGCTGTATTTATCAGAGTGTGTGTGTGTGTGTGTGTGCAGAGGGATAGAGGTGGAGCCGTGTGCCTGCCCCACATTGATACGGCCCCTCTGTCCATGGCCAGTGAGGCCTGTTGGTTTTACAACAGCAGCCTGGCTTTATGCCCCAGTCATCTCACCCTTGCCAACTGCATCTCTTCTCATTAACCATCTGCCCCTTCATGCCTGCTGATAGCCCACAGCACATGGGCAGCTGCCCTGCGAGAGAAATAGGACATAAAATCAGCTTATGAATCAATACATTCTCTGGTATGTCTGTGTTCCCCTAATGGGAATGTGGCAGAATCCAAAATGCACTTCTTTTTCATCCGACAATACTCTGTCAGGGGTTGGTGGCTCCAAAGGAGTCTTTGTAACTCTAGTCTGCAAGCTGAAACTGCTGAGACCAGCACTGGGCAGGTGAACTCAGCCTGTAGCCTGAAGCCCTGGTGGCTGGAGATGGGAGTGAGGATGCAAGGGAGGTGCCAGGGGCTGGAGGAGAAAGTCTTCAGAAAAGGAGACCGCCTGAAGGAAAGCAGTGTTTCTGTCTTAGCCAGGAAGTAAACCAAGGCACCTGCCATCTGTCACGTCAGGCTCAGCAGCTGATGGGGTAGTCCTAGGGTCTCTAAGTACCATGTACCCATGGGGTGCAGAGCTGTGTGTGAGGCACTTAGAATGAATGTGTGACAGATGTGACTTCAGTCTAAGAAGATGGTTTGAGTCACATATGAAGGCATTTTTCCAGAAGTGAGGATCAGCGAGCTGAATGTTCCACACTCTGTTTCCTGGTTTCCCTGTATAGGGCCAAGGGAGATTTTGGAGGGCAGAGCTCTGAACACAAAGGAGGACTCTGCTTAACACTAGCAGTCTCGGCAACATGCACACCTGCAGGCTCACACCTGGCGAGGTGATTGGATGAGGACCGTGGGTTGCTGGGAGAATTCCCTCGTACTTACAGGTGTTCCAGATGGGGCTTCTCGGACTGCCTCATGTAAGGCAGTAGCCTGACTCCCATCCCAAAAGCTACCAGAAATGACAATGTGCTTATTTCCTACTTCCTCTCTGTCTCTTTCACTTCCTGCAAGGCTGTTGAGAACAGCAAGCCCATCTCATATTCATGTCCTCTATGCCTAAAACAGTGTCTGGTCCATAGAAACACATACATGTCAAATGAATAAAAAAATGATAAACTAAGGCATAAACTCTGTCTACAGACATTGAGGTTGAGATCTGTAGAAAGCAAACTTGATTTTTACACTCCTCTGCTGACAGTCCCTTGCACATATCACCTAGGATAAAATATGGAGTTCCTAGCCTGGCATTCAGCCCTCTGGCTCTGGCCCTGCCAAGCCCTCAGCTTCGTTCTCACCCTCCCTCCCCAGGACCTGTGTATCATGTGTGCTCATCCAGAGGTTCCTAAACTCTGGTCTTATGCATATAAGACTTAGGGATCTGCTGAAAACGTCACCTCCTGACATACAGAGTCAGGCAGTTTTGGAGAGGGGATACAAGAATTGTCACTTTTTAAGAAGACCGCCAGAGCGGTTCTGATGGTAGAATCACATTTCAAGGAGTCACACTTTAGTCAAATTGCCAGGGGCAGCTCACAGAATGATCACACACTTTCCCTGGCATTTGTCTGTAAAGCAATTTCTGTTTAGAATCATCTTTGTCCATCCACATGTTCCACCCGGAAAACGTCTACATATCCTTCAGGCCTCAACTCCAATGTTAGGTCTGCAGTGGACGGGGTCCTGTCTCCACCAGGCACCACATACCATGTTTCCTTCTGTCTCCATCTGATACATCTTATATATACCTTGCTTAGAAATTGTTCCGATGATTTCTCTGACACTGTGAGCTCCCCAAAGAACCACTCTCTGCCATCCCTGGACCCCTAGTGTTCAACAGAGAGCCTTGTGTGTACTGGACTAAAGCAAGGCACTGGGGTATCCGTCCTTCCCTTTCTCCCTTCCTGACTGTGTTCTCTATCTCTGACTCCTGGGTCTTCCAGGAGTTCTCACTCCAGAGAATGGACAGCCTTGTGGATGATCGTGTCAATATCCTGGGATTTTCCATTTTCAACCAGTCCCATGCTTTCTTCCAAGAGTTTGCCCAGAGCCTCAACCAGTCCTGGCAGGAAAACTGTGACCACGTGCCCTTCACTGGACCCGCGGTAAGTGTCCCCCAGAGTCCTCCGGGATGGCCCCAGGCCTTCCCACATACTCTGGCCACTGGGCAATGGGCTCTCTTGAAGTCCAACCTCTCCCTTCTCTAGTCCTGGCTCAGAAGGGAATGTGTACATGTGTTGGGAAATGAGGGAGGTGGTTTGGGAGCAGTGAGCTTAGAACACCAAGCCAGATCAAGAAGGCAATGAGGAAAGAGTAGAGGCACCCAGTGGTCACTTGGTGATATCCTGCAAGTGTCCTGAGACCAGACTCCCACAATGCTGTTGCCGAGAAGTGCCTGAGTTTAGGATCCAAGAATCTCACTATTAAAGGGACTTTGAGAGTTAATCTGCTCTCTTATGTACAAAGAAACTGAAGCCCAGGCAGGGAATGGGGGTGGCGGCGGGATGAACCTTTTTCAGAGCAGAACTAGATTCCAAGACTCCTGGCTCCTCATCCAGTGTTCTTTCCACCCCACTGGGCCACAGCCCCACGTAGCTCATCCAGAGAGGCTTCCTTTCTGCCCCCCACCCATGTTCTTGTCCCTGTAGTTCCTTGCCCTGGCTGTGTTTAATGGATGTAAACTTTTCCCTGGCCATTTTTCATTGGGTTGGCCATCCTTACACTGTGAGGTGGGTCAAGTATATCTGCTGTATCCATTTGTTAAAAAGCAACTTCTCAGGATTGTCCAGGATTGCATGGCTTTCTAGGCCTGCCTTGGCCAGGTTACACACATCATTTCATTTCAAAAGTACCATGTGAAGGCAGTCCACAAGGCATCACCTGAGGCAGGACATGATCACAACTTTCTGAGATAACTGCTATCAGTATCTCCACCTTACAGCTCATAAACTGAAGCCCAGAAAGGTTGAAAAACTACTCAATGATCACAAGTATCACGGTTCGAAGCAAGCCCGTGCAAATAGTTCATGAGACCCTATTTCGAAAATACCTAACATAAAAAGGGCTGGTGGAGTAGCTCAAGGTGTAGGCCCAGAGTTCAAGCCCCTGTACTGTAAAACAAAAACAACAAAAACAAAACAACAACAAAAAAAACTACTCAAGGTCACACAGCTCGTGAACAGAGCAACTAGGATCAGAACCCTGGCTTTACTATATACTTTGCAATTTGTATCTTTAACCACTGTGCCATTTTGCCTCTCTCTAGGTCTGTAATTTCCTTGACACACTGCAGTGTAATTTGGTTTGGCAAAATGAAAGGAGCTGATAGTTATTTATTGAATGAATCAATGATTAAATAAGTCAGGTAGAATGATGAGTTAGAGATAGAAAGCCATGGGAAGTCATCAGGCCTAGGAGATGGCAATGGATTTGGGAATCCTCCTGGAGTAGGAAGTCCTCCTTTAAAATAGGGACCATACCTATCTTTTATTCAATGTGCCCAAAAGCAAAGCCTTGTGTAGATTTCAGCATACATGGGCAGAATTAGTAGTGGGCCAAAATGGTGACCAAGTTGGGCCTGAGAAAGGCAGACAAGTGACATAGTGACCTTTCATAAACCCTGGCCCTTTATGGTTGTGTAACCTGGTGAGAATCTCAGGAAGGAACAGATGATGAAGGGGGTTAGACCTCATGAAAACCAAGGAAGCTTTGATCTAGGGAAGACACAGGAAAAGGGAGCTTCATGGAAGCTATTCTAGACCTGGAAGAGGTTAAGAATCCATAGGAAGGATCTAGGGGCTGGAGGGGGGAGCATCTGAAGGAACGGGTCCTCAATCCCACTAGATGGCTTAAGGGACAGTGAAGGATGTTCTCAACTACAGAGTCATGGGCAGGATAAGAGGCATCCATCAATAGGAATGCAAGTCCTGTTTGACTGGTCTAGTCAGAAGTTCTTGCAGTGATCATTCTGAAATTCTAATGAGGCACCAATGGGCTTGAAAGGTTGATAGCAGAATATCAGAAAAGGAAAATAGTTCTGCTTCCCCCTCTTCAGCCCACACTGTATACAGATGGCATTTGGCCTAGTATAATTAAAGGTCTCCATGTATATTTCCAGAGTGTTAGCCTTGCCACTGATGCTCACTTTGGCCATGAGCAGATAGATGAGAGGCCTTAGTGACCAGTGAGATCCTTTGTAAGGACCCAACACCAAAATCAGGCAGAGCCTCTCACAGAGCTGCAAGGCCAGTTGTGGTCATGCATACTGGAAAGACAATTGGTCATGGGACACAGGGCCAGCATTCAAGCGCTGGCCTCACCATGTTCTTGCCACATGTTCTTAGGTAGTTATGTCACCCCTCCAGGCCTCAGATTCTTTATCTGTAATATTTGGCTAATTATGCTTGATCATCCTAGAAGATCATTGTGAAGATAAAATGGGATATGATCCTATCTTCAACTCTCAGTTATTAATTGAATAAGTTTATTTAACAATCTATATGGCAGATGCTGGAATAGGCATTAGTAAATATATCAGATAGCTTTTGCTACATAAATGCTGTTTGATAACCAATCACAAAATCTCACAGTAAACTGCACATTTATTTAGCTCATGCATCTGAGAGTCAGCTGGGGATTGGTTCATCTAAGCCAAGGTCATGCAACAAATATGGGTTGACTGATCTAGACTAGGACTGTCCAGGCAGCTGTGTTCCATATACCTTCCCCCTTCCCTTGGACCAGCAGACCAATCTGGCATGTCCTCATGGTCAGAGCAGAAGGACAGCAAAGCAAATGGAAACACACAAGATTTCTTGTCATAGTCTCTGGAACAAGCACACTATGACTTCCACCTCATTTTACTAGTCAGTTGAAGGTATACAGATAAAGTCAGAGAGTAAGGAAATGTAGCCTACCCTTTTAGAGGAAAAAAAAAAATCCACAAAGTCATATGGCAAAGGGCCAGAATGCTTGAATACAGAATGAGGTGACAGAATGGGGCCCATCAGGCAGTCCATACAGTGAGGTAAGGCCAAAGTCACTGTTCTCCAAGGTGCACCATGGAGTTGCATGCTCCACCTCCATATCTGCTCCATATCTGGGAAAGTAGTCCCTAGAGGTGTGCTATTTCTACATTTGCAGTGGGGAAGAAAGAAAGTCTGCATGATCAGGGAAGGTGGGAAAGCTAATATAGTCACAAGCCACTAATGATGTTTTGGTCAATCATGGACCGCATACCCAGGGTGGCGCCATAAAAATCTATTGCCTAGTGACTTTGTGACTGACTTAGTTTGTGTAAGTGCACTCCATGATATTTGCACAATGATGCACTTGACCAATGACACACTTCTCAGAACATGTCCCCATTACTAGGCTGTGACTTGCTGCTCATTTTCTATTACAAGACCCTGAGCAGGGTACAGGGTGCATAGCCTCCGGGTCGAGCAGGGGATGCGTGTGCTGCCTCGCTTTGAGGGTGTGAAGAGCCATCCTGTCACATAGAAGCTGCTTAAAAGGGCAGTTTAAAAGACAGAAACCCTATTCTCATCTGTCACCTTTTCAGTGTGGTGTCTGACCTCTCAGGGCCCTCAGTGTCTTATGATCCCCAAGAGTGTCTGGGAGGGCTTTGGGTGATTGTGAAGGCTCCTTCCTGCTGGGAGTGAGAACGTGCCAGGCCTCAGACTTAGAACAGGTCCCTGTGCGGTGTCACAGGTTCTGGTCCTGGTCCTAAACAGTGGGCTTGGTGTCAGACCAGCCCCTTTGATTTCCTTGTGTTTTTCACTTATGAGCCTTGGGTGCTCCTGCCTCAGGCACAGTCCTGAAGATATTATAGCACTTGCCATGAACCAACACCTTGACCTGCTGGTCAAGGAATGGTTAAGAGTAGTCATGTACTCTTTTTTGACAAATGAGCAACCTGAGGCCCAGAAGACCAGAAGAGTTGGATGGCACTTGAAGGTCTCCAGAGGTCCTCTCTTTAACCCTGCTTAAACTAGAGCCTAAATCTGTCTCTCTTTGAGGGAGAACCTGCCAGCTATCACCTCTGGGGTGGCCTCTAATGGGAAAGGGAGGCCTCTGGGGGAAGGGAGGTGTTATCAACACTGTCACTTCAAGAACATGGAAGGGAAGCTGGCAGCAGTGACAGTAGCACATTTCTCTCAAGCTTTCTCACTTTAGCAGCTTACCTTTTCAAAAGCTGTGTCTTCCTATCTCTCTGGGGGCTGAGAAATTCCTGCCTCTAGCAGCCCAGCTCTTTTAGGACAGGGAGCTGGAAGGCAAAGGGGTGAGTTCCAGCCTGTTTTCTCTCCCCTATTGCATGTAGTAAAAAAGGCTGAAGCCAGTTCCTGCTTCAATTGGACATCTCTTTCCATCCTTTTCCTCCCCTTCTTTGCTCTCACAGCCTCACCCTTGCTCTCTCCCTCCCTGACCCAGACTTTCTTTGCCTTCTTCCATAGCCTCCCTCCACTCTTCCCTTTCCCTATAACCTTTTATTTCTCCCTCTCCTACATTGAATGTTCCTCACCCCTTCTCCACTTGTGACTTTTTCTCCCCCTCCTTTTCTTTCTTGTGTGTGAGGCTCCCAATATTCCAGGTAGAGCTTAAGGGGCAGGGAGCCCAATTTGAAGGGCAAAATGAAGGGCAAGAAAGGAGGAGCTAGATGACAAGTAGCCAGGAGAAAGCTCAATGCACCCACTCAGGCCAAACCTACCAGGTGGCCAGCAGCAGGCTGCAGGTGCACTTCCTGCCTGAGACAAAGCAAGGGGAGAGGGAAGGTTGGGATGGGAGACACATACCCAATCGTCTCATCTGCCATTCCCATTAATCATGCCGCAAAGAACGAAAATTGTGGGAAATCATTAAAATTACAGATGGCTAGATTAAGTAATTAGAATTTAGGCTAAAGCAGATGTTTGTAATTAAGTGTTTATTTCATTGAATAAAATCCAGATTGTAAGAACTGTTCCATGAGATTTTAATGGTTCCTGCCCTGGTATTATATTAGGGGTCAGAGTTTAAACTTAGAGAGGCTCAGCTATAAATGGGCATCTGAGAGGATCCTGGGAATCCAGTTGTTGGAGCTTGGGGAAAGATGAGGGTTACAGGT